TTGTTTGCTTTGGATTTTTTGTTTTGTAGTGCATATGTTGTTCTTTTGATTTTTCTCAATCTAGATAATATTTGTGATGGTTTGGAATAGAAACAAGAGAAAAGAACAAGTAATTTGGGGACATACTATTCCTTTTCTTGGAACTTAAAGCTTTTATGATCTATTGGGATTTTTATTTTGGTTTTGTGCTTGGCATATTTAGAAGGGCATTCAGAGGGCCTTATGGTTCTTCAAAAGACTTACATGAGCTCAGAGGGCTGTTCGGACTGCAGAGCCTGTCAAAGCTTTGAATGCAATTGGCCTGTCCGTTGGAAGGCTTGGCCCAGGAGCACATAAAAGTGCATGTTTTGCAGGAGGGGTGGCATACGGTCGTCTGTGGCATAGGTGACAGGATCATCTACAAGCTTTTTGAAGTCTGCCTTTTTGGATTACATAAAATTATGCCTGAAGCTTAAATGTAAGAATCTGAAAGTGAGCTGGATCCTAGATGAGCCTGGATACTCGCTAAATTCATGGGAGATAGGCAGACTGTTACCTTACTGCTTCCAACAGAGTTGTTTCTTAAAGCTGTTTCATTCTTTGCCTCCTGATGTTATGTTTGACCAAGACTGGTGATAGAACTGGCCTAAAACATGACTTATGTTTCTTGGCTGAGTTATTTTTATAGTTATTACTATCCAACAGTTTCAACTGATGTTTCAGTTACAATTCAGTGATGAGTACTTGTCATTCTTGAAGTGTTTCATTGTAATAATAAACACTGGAACTCCAGGAAACCCATATTATGTTGCATTTCATAGAGTCCTCTGTTTCAGCTACTTACCTGCTTTTTGGTACTTGCTATTTTCTCAGCTGAAGAAAGAAACAAGACACAAAAATATAATGCAAGAGATTCCTCAAGAGGCTTTTACCTCATATGCCCCTTACAACATTCTGAGGATACAGAAATATATTTAGACTCTTCCTAAGTGATATTTTTGAAGCTGTTATTTGTATACCGATTTAGTGACTGAATTTCTGTGCTTTCTGCTCAACTCTACCAGGCAGTGCTTGTTCCTCTTATATAGAAATATATTAACTGAAAATTAAGAATTGCATCTTATTTTCAGTGGTTGTGGAGAAAGTAATTGTTACATCTGTCAAGCTGTATGCGTATGTTTTAAACAGTGATAATAGGCACATCTTGTGATGAAGGACCTTATGAAAGAAATTATTCCAGAAGCTCACGTCTGTTTGATGTGTGTTGAAGTACATCTATGCAAATAGTTGAAAGAAATGCTGATGACAACCTATTTGTCCATTCAGGTCACTAAGCACACTAAATTTGTAATGTTAGAACCATGAAGACCCTTGTCGTTCAGTGGGCATTTCTGTTGTGGGAGGTGGTTCATGTGTTTTGCCACTGATATTCACTAGCCTGTTATTCAGAAATATGCTGCAATTTATCTGCTGCTGGACTCCATCAATGGTTTGTGGTCTACTTGATTCCTTTATGGTCCTGCCATCAATTTCAGGACTGGCAAATGTAACTCCAGCCTTTATATGGCAGATATGCTGAAGTTTTGTTATAATAAGAGCAGTTGTTTTCCTTTTCTTTGCATGCGGTTTTGATCTGTTATGCCAGACATTTTCCCCTTCAGTTACAGATAGCCTGGTTGAATACATGATGTCCCAAATTTAAATCTTGGTATTGGACAGAAATACTCTTCATAGATATGTACCAGTATAGAAGGAGTGGGAAAACTAAGCTGGATCTTTACTTTGCTCTTCACCTCAGTCGGTACCTGACAGTAGAGTCTGTCCTTTTCTGGGCTTTTTGTACCAGTTCTATATTATTGAAAGACTGTGGCTACAGGTCGCTTGTGGAAAAGATCAATGCCAGTGACCAGTTTCACCATAGCAGCTTGCTGCCTTCTAGTCTTTGAGGTAGTTGGAGGTGGGACTCTTCCAGGAAGTGAGAAACTGTATGGCAGCAGCCCCATGAGACTTTGATGTGGGTGGTGTCACTTACGCTTGCAGAAATTGAGGGCCTTCCAAGGCTGCTGCTGCTGCTGCTACTTTTATCAATCAACATATGATTCATTGTCTTTATTTTTTATTGCAATTTTAAGCTGCTGCTTTTCTTCCTGGGTTCAGAGGGTTTGTCAGTCATTTTCTGGAGATTCTTAACAATGAGTGAGTAGCCATGGTCAGTTTAGACAGACCTGGTGGCCATCATCACTCCCATCATTTAACCTCAGTATTCTCTGACCCAGCCTTTCTGCTCAAGAGGTCACAAGGTAACCTTTGCTGGAGAGCCTAAAGAACAAATATTTACTGTGTTTGTATGAGTGGAGTCCCGGAGCTACAGATACACACCTCAGCATAATGTATTGCAGCTTTTCACAGTAGGGGAATGGCTTATTTTTGGCTCAAGAGGAACTATTTTTTCTTCCCCCCTCTTTTTCTTTTCCCCCACTGTTTTTTGCCTGTTCTCTTCCCTCCCTGCTTTGTACATTAACTTGAAAGCCTTTGCTCAGCAGTTATCCAGGCTCTTTGGTGTTGGTGGTGATGTGCTCTCATTTGCTTTAACCAATGATGGCAGTTGACTTAGTTGCAGGATTTGCTAGTACCCATTGGCTGAACTGAATTCTTCCTTGAAAAAGCCATGAGACTCAGGACTTTCTGTTCCAACTCTTCTAAAAAGACTCAGGAGTACTTTGAAGCATCTCTGGTGAGCCTGCCTGTTTGAGACAGAACTGTTCTGAGGGCTTATCTGTCATTGGTCATTAGAGCATACAGGGAAAAATCCTTCCATTGTGTCCAGCAGAGAGCCAGGACTAAAAGCAAACCAAACCAAAAACACAGAGTGGGAAAAAACCACAGAGTAGTAAGGGCAACAGTGGCAGTGTTTACTGACCCCATAAATTTGAAGTTGTAAATCTTCCCTCCTTCTTCTTCTCTAGCTAGGAGAGAGAAAAAGGCAGTAAAAGGCATTAGAAAGTCAACTGAGAATCAGCCAGGGAAGTGCTTTCAGATGCACTAGAAACAACAGTAGTTCTAATCTGAGCTGGAAGTAGCTCCTGTGAGATTTGGTCTGCAAAGGACAGAAGTGCTTCTGTGGTCTTTCCAGATTACTTACTTCAAGCATAAGTCTACTACTGCCTCATGAGCCAACAAGAAGGTTTTACATTAATCAGCCATAATTATTTACACATAGGCTGTAGCCTGAGCAAAGAGATTCAGCTCCATATAGTTATAACTGGGGTGATCAGCAGCAACATGGTTGCCTTAAATGGACAGAGCCAGATTTTTCTTGCAGATGTACTATGAAAGGATAGAAGCTACTAACAATTGCAGGATGCGCATGCACATTTTCCATGTGCATGGAAAATTCTGATTA